AAAAAAGATTTAATTCATTTTGAACAAGGCATGGAAAAGTCTAAAGTAAACGAAAAGTAAAAATAACAGACTGTTCTTTAGATCGATAATGTAAGAAAAATATTTTCTTTTTATGATTAACTTAATACGTTCATATTTTTATATATGTTGATTCTGTAGAATTTTATGCCAAGTTAAAGTAGGTCTCCAAAAAAATCTACTTGTCTCTCGAGCTGCATCTGTTTAGTAACAGCAAAGTGGATCTCCATGCCTACGTTGGATAAGAGGAATGTCGATGAAACGGAGAGACGAGGAAAATACACGTTTCTCTTCCATTCCTTAAAGCACTCTAGCACGATGCTTTTCCCCGTTCGAGGCGTCGAGTGACGTTCCACATTGACGCATTAACGAGGCGAAATTAGCGCTCAGCGAGCAAATTATACATCGCTATTATTACGTTACGTCCGTGACGTCCTCAACCATCGATGTAACGCATAATGAAGACGGATGTATTTGCGTCCCGGGATGTAAATATACCTACCGCGAATGAATAAGCGGTGTCTGATAACAGGCTATAACGGGTATCGGGACGAATCGATCCCCGTTGACGTTAATTCGTTCGCGGGTATCGGGAGTTATCAGAATGATATCAAATGTGAAATGCATGCAAATTTCGATGCGAAATTGAGAGCCGTCGGCTTTTCCACGCGGGTCCCCCCGCGTTGTCAACGTTTCCCTTCGATTCGTCATCAATTCGTTGGCACGAATGAAATGATGGGGGAAATATCGCATTCCACCGTTGACTAACGAAGCGTAAGTATCAAAGAGTAAATATCGAGTAGTAGAAAATGAAATATACTCTACACGTAAAGTAAATGGAAAATGAGCTAGCTGAGATATATCTCATTTTTCGCTCGCATCCGACGCCACCCCCTTCGCTGCTTCGTGGCGCTGTACCGCGCGGGAGCGGAAAGAACGCGCCTGCCTCATCGGCAACACATCTCGGCGAGATGCAGGCCCATTCAGGATCGCGTTGTGTCTCCCCACGCGTACCCGACGCTACGGCCACGACGCAAGCGTAGCCTAGTGTGCGAGTCCTACTACACCAGATTTCTCGTTTGTAGGGCAGGGTCGAGGGATGAGGGGAACAGGAGGGAGGCGGGGGGGGGGTGAGAATGGTCTTTATCGAGCGGCTTCTGCGCGAGTTTGCCCCGACGCTGACGCCGACGTTCCCGTCGTTTTCACCCTCAGGGGCGGATTATCCCCCTCCGACGCCGCTGTCGCGAAACGCGTATGGTTATCTTCTCGATTGCGAGATATCGCGATGAGAAGTTTCAGCTCTCGTTGGTCAAACGAAGAAAATTGCTGATTTTATAGCAGAGGAAACTCTAAGACTCGCAGAAAAGACTTTTCTTTCTCTTTTTTTTTTTAATATAAATTTTTTACTCGTATAATCACGGCTTAAATTTGATTACACTTGATATAAAGTATTTTTATAGAATCGAGAAAATTCTTGATGAGCTCCTTGGAATTCAAAATCGAGATTAGCGAGGATTTCTTTTCATCTCAAGGATCCGAGTTGTTTTAATTCGGTCCTGCCAACCCCCACCGCGTGATCTGCCCCTTCCCATCCCATCGCGACAAATCTGTTAGGAGATTTCCACCTTCATCCTCGCCCACCTCATGGCAATGAATTTGAACGGGACGCAGATTCCCGCAGACGGAGTGAGAACGACGACGTTGGGCATACGCCAGGAAGTCCGCGTCGACTCCTACGAGAAAGAGAAAGAAAACAGGAGAGCAAGGGTGGTATGAGTTTCCCTGCTTGTTGTCACTGTCGCGGCTCCAGACGCTCGTGTCTCCAGCCTCGTGCTCGGTGGGTGAGATTAATTTCTCGTACCTTCGGTCTCGGAAGAGACCGAACATCCCTTTCAACGTTATCCCTTTCTCGTTAATGGAACCGATTCGGTCGATCAGACGTTGTTCACCGCGACAATCGATCGCAATAGTGCTTCGAGTACGAGAGCTCAGGTGCGCATCCTGCGAGTGTACGACCACCCTTGTCCTGTCGACGATTCGCTCTGTTCACCCGGGTGACCCCGACGGTACTTCTGGGAGTGTCTCGAGTGTCAGGTGCGGGATCCTACCCTTCAGGACGAGTCGCGACACGTCGGAACTGACAAAACGCGCATTCAAGACAGGTTGTTCGCGCGCGATGATAGGATCTACCCCACTATCCTGCACGTTGCCCTAGCCGCACATTCCGCCACCCTCCCTCGGTCCTCCTCGCCGTCGCAGTTCAATTTCCCCCACTTTGCGTGCACCCCGCCTTTTTTTCTTCTTTCCCCTTCTGTCTCTCTCTCTCTCCTCTCTCTCTTTCTTTCTTTCTACTCTCTTCTCACCCCTGGCTGTTTGCCATCGGGAAAACCCCCTACGTCTGCTTCCTGCGCGCTATTTCTCGCTGAGAGCGGGACAGTTTTCGTACGACGCGCTCTTTCGTCGAATCGTCGAGAGAGAAAGAGAGAAAGAGAGAATGAGAGAGAGAGAGAGGGTGGGGAAGGTAGAAGGAAAGAGAAGGAGATAGGAACGCACATGAATTGCGGTGCAATCTGCTGCAACGGTGTATAACAGCGAAGCTGAAAGTGCAACCGAACGATGGAATTAAAGAGGCGCGATTCGCCACGGTCGACCGCCTCGGGAATTTCTCCTCGTGGAAGCAGTTGAGCGAAGTGCCAACGATTTCCCGTCCATTCCGATTGCTTTCCCTCAAAGAGGGAGGGAAAGAGAAAGATAACATCCCGCGAGTGCAACGAGCTAATCCGCGATAACGGAGAACAATTTCTCCCAGAGGGATTCTCCCCCGGCGTCTTTCTCGCGGTATCAGTGTCGAACGTGAATTGTGCAGGTGCGTCTCGAATTGGTGTGTTTTTTTCTCTCATCCTTTCTCGGAGATCAGAGATCTCCGTTTGATCTCGAAGCGTCGATTCAGATGCTTTTTTTTAACGAAACGTTCATTTTCGTCGAGCCGCCGTGTTTATTAATCTCCGCGCGTGTAAATAAGTGTTGCAACATCTTTGTGTTTTAATATTCGTTTCGTCGTGCCTGGGTCGAGGGAAATATTCATCAAATGCAATTTGCCACATCATTTATAGCACGTAGCTTTTTTAGCTTGAATATGTCGCTAAATCGCGACGTACACGTATACGTTTTACGGAGGATCAAACGTCGAGCGGAAGTCAAATGGTCGATCTGTATAATTGAGGACCGAGGATTTTATGAACGCGTCTCTGACGCACTCGATTTTAATGAATTAATTTTATGCGATTGATTTGCATGAGAAAAAAAATTCGCCGTGAAATCATTTCGCGCGACAGTATCCGGATTCATCAGGCACGATTGGTTTTCGCTGGATTTATCGGACACATATTCGCTCGCAATTTTACTTCAAGAGCGGGTCAACATCGCGCGATGCATCGCGCTTTAGCGTGCAATTGCATTTGAATCTGAATGGCAAATTGATAACTTTCATACAGTAGCACATAGTGGCGTCCCTAGTTGCGAATATCCGGAAAATTAGATAATATCGAATATTCTGATTATTCATATTCGTGATCCGTAATTCAGTGATTGTAATACCGATATTTCGCTCTTCGAAAGAACGACATTCTCACTTTAAAATAAATTACTTTGTAATTAATTAATTAAGTTATAATTATATTAGATTAATTGAAGGATTTTATAATCTTTCACTGATTGTAAGAGCAATAAATCAAATGTGCACATATTTATTGTACATATTTATTGTATTTATTTTTAATGCGAACCTCTTTATACGTACATACGCACCGATATGTAATATCGATATCGTTGATTAAAGATTAAATTACGTAGAATAAATAATGAAATATTGTTACTTTGTTCCGGTATTACAATCACTAATATATGGTTTCTCATCACGTTGGAGTGTTAACCCATTAATGGATCGTATTTCACTTTTGAGGCACAAATTTTATCATGAATAAAATGAATTTAGTAATGAAAATAATCCTTTAAACTTTTCAGTATTTAATTTCCAAATATTGAAAATATTGAATTACCAGCTGTTTAATGATTATGATATTAATTCCAAAGTTTAGAGAGATAAGGTAAAAGCAACATTATGACATTTAACATTTGTTAATATTACACTTAAAGAATATTTAATATAAATCAACGTTTTCGACATTTACATCTCTATGTCAATATTTTTTAAATCTAAAAATTTGTTTGAAATAATTTTTTAAAATAATTTTTTAAGTTTCTCTAGTCTTTTTTTTCACAAAGTCGTATTCAATTAAAACTGTTTGTATATTCTAATGCAAATGATCTTAATGGATTAAATTCACAAATCGTACTTACTAACCGGCGACGTGATATCAAGTTACGAGGTCGTCGTGAAGAGTCCGCGAGTTGTCGTTACGATTAATATAATTTTCAGCCACGCCAATAAAATTTCAACTTCTTTCTCTTGGCAGTCGACCATTTAAATTAATGTAACGTTCGAAAACCGAGAATTCCTTGGACGCTATCGTCCACCGCAATTACATCGATATTCGAATCGTCACGTTTTCCACAAAATACGGAAAGTAAACACTTGCCAGAGAGAACGGAATGGCTTACATCTCACGCGTATTTCGCTCATTCGATATATGCCTCGTCTTGGCGAACGAAATCAGAGCGCCATGCCGCACTCGTGCATCGTGCGAAGCGTGTTTTGCCGCCGGATAGCAAAATACGCCGCGTCAGCATCCGAGCCAATATATTGGGCTAGAATTTACATAAAAGAGTCTTGCGCCTCTGCCAGTGAAATACGTCTATTTCTATGCGTCGTTTTGGCCACGGACGTGATATTTTTCTTTCGGAGAATATCGCGATTCGCGGCGTCCGTGACAGTCGACAGAATTTTCTCCCCGGGACGATCGATCGAATTTTTTTAAATATCGCACGGAGAATTTTCGTTGAATCTGGTCGCGCGTCGGACGCCGTTAGATGCTGCCCAGCTGTACTATTGGGCAAAGTGGGTTAACGTACTGCCAGGTAGCCGGCAGCCTTATAATCCATCTTATTGATCTTGGAGTAATCGATAAGCTCGCGTTTCTTTCTCGGCCGTCATATATGTTTTCTGAAATGCCAATCGTTTTTTAATAAGAATTTCACCGCCGTTTCTCGCCGTTTCACGCGGAAACGTCCTCCATTTCCGTTCCGCGGAATGACGCGGCGCATACAATTTAAGGGCGCGTCGTTCGCGAAAAGTGGAGTTCCCTCGTGTTCGCGCTCCTTCGCCGTTTTCAAGACGGCCACCGTTTCTCACGTACACACCCGCGAGAAACACCCGCGGACGACAATTTATCAATAACTTGTCCCACTTTCTCGGAAGAACAAGCGCATGTTTTCTCTCTCTCTCGAGCGAGGCAATCGTGCACCACGTATCGCTAATCGATACCCAAGACAAATTCCTCTTAACGGCTATTTTCGCTGCGACGGTGCTACCCATCTTGTCTACGTTTTTTTCAATCGACAATTCTGTCTTTTCTTTTTTTTTTTTTTCTTTTCTTGCAGGACGTCACGATCGCACCAGCGGATGCGACTTCTCAAAGCGGCTTTATCTCTCGTGCGATAGTGGCAAGTCGATCGCTCTGGTCGAAGGGTCCGTCTCCCGCCCGTGGCAGGCGAGGCTTCACATGTAAATGGAATCTCTCCCGTCGGGACGACCGGGATACGGGAATTCCTCGATAAAGAGGTCGCGAAAAGCACGCTGTGAATATAAATGCCGCACTCGCACTTTGTGAATCGGAACCTGCCGCTGGATGTCCCTATTCCCCGAGATGCAGCCTCCCGTTACGCATGTAGATGCAGCCGCCTCGCAGGCGCATCGAGGAGCACGATTGCATATGCGATAAACGAAACGGAGGTTCCCCAAGTGCGGAAGAGTCAGAATGACGTCACGTATGGTTGTTATCGCGAGCGGGAATAAATCACTGATAATTACCGGCGTGTCGGGGCAATAAATTATATCAAGGCGGAAAAGCGAAAGGGAGAGGTTGATAATGTCGGAGATGTCGAAAGAGGAGGTCGATTGAGTCGAGAGCGACTATCTGTATGTCGAGGATGCCGCTTGATGAACAATACCGCCGTCTCGTCGACGAAGATCGAATCGGATCGCCGAGAAATAAGCTCAAGAGACTGAAGATGACGGCGGCCGAACGAGAACCCGTAAACGACTCGCTGCTTTTAAACTAAGAAAACGCGCTCGTCGTCGCGCCGACACCATGGGGAATGGCATGAACAAGGTGAGAAATTCCTTCAGGAAACCTTACATTTTCGGATCGCTATCCAGTCGCGTTTAGCTGAAAGAGAAGGAAACGAATGCATTTTTCATGCCGGTAGAAACGTAGATGGGAAGAATATAACGTGAAATCGTTTGGAGCGTTTCGCGTATTATTTATCGCGAATCGAATGTATTCTAAATATCTCGCTATCAATTTAGATTCTCTTCGGTAGACGCGAATAGTAAGATCGAAACGTTTGGCGTTATTTAATTCGCGTTTATTTAATAACCATATATAGTATAGTTTCATCGATAAGATTGCACGCGCCATTTCCTATGTTTTTAATTATAAACCCTTCTTTTTGATTTCAACTTCTCGAAAGCTTTTATCGTTTAACAATGTCCGACTTGTTTCTATCATCTCTTATTTCGGCTTCTTTAACTTATTAAGAGAACGACTAATTGGCCACTTCATACTTTCAGAAGATCTAACAAAGTATCGGAGCGTCTGAAGGAGCTGATCTTAAAAGTTTAATAATGTCTCTGCAAGACAAAGCGGAATAAATCAAAGAACATAGTGGAAGAATGTTTAACTTCTTTTCTGTTTGCTACCGAGTAATTCCGCTTGAAATACGCTTTAAAGTCCATCCATTTAAGTTCTTTAAAATAAAATGCTATTTACGCGTTTATTCGTGTTATGAATACGACGAAAAAGATCTTCGTTTCTTCTTTCGTCGCAGTGACAGGATTTCTTTTTTTACGGCCTGGCTATAAGTTTCATTTTGACCGAAGGATTGACTTCACGTCTTTATTACTCGACAACTTGTTTAAACGCATGTCGATATAACGACTTACCCAGCGTTCTCGTAACCTCGCGCCTTAACGACTGGCGTAATACGCTTGATAATAATAAAATTTTATGTCCGGTAACGTGCGATCGTATAGCTCATAATGCGGAACGCAAGTGTAAGTGATAAAGCTGACAGGGAAATGTTGCGGCAAAATGAAACTTCATTTATGCTTAATCCCCCTTCGACGGTGATTTATAAAATACGATACATTTCATGATTAAACGGACCATTAAATGAATAATCAATCGATAATTTACTCACATATTCTCGTTCGTTCTAACTTTTAATCCGTTTTTTTTCTTGGAAAAAAAAGATTATATTACATATAATATTACTTTACTATATCTATTTTATGTTTACAAATTATTCATAAATACAAAATTTTTATGATTTGTTGATTATATTGAATAAGAAATATGATTATAACGTAGTCTTTGCTTTTACATAATTGCGGTGTTTAATATTGTATGCTAATTTGCAAATTTAATATAATTTCAACGGGAAATTAAAAGGAACAAGTCAAAACGAAATGTAATATTAATAAGAGGTAATGATCTCACTTTTACATCATATATTTTTTCTACTACAAAATTCTACTACAAAAGATTATTTAAAATGGAATCTCTATTTTCTTTTCGAAACATCTCGTTTAATGATGGATGTCACAATTTCTTGTACTCATCATGAAATATCCTACAAATATATTCTAATAATAATTGATACTCTTGTTTTGATTATATATTTGGGCAACATGATACATCACGCTCATATATCGAAGCATATGAGCTGCGATTACCTCGTTGCGATTCATCTTAACCGATTCATCTTAACCCTTAATCGATTGAACGATCGAAAGATCCGTGTCATTCGACGAATGGCGAATCTCCTTTCGCGAAGCTCTCACATTTTCGGAATCGGAGTCATTTCGTAAAATTTCCCGATCAAGTGCGTCGATAACATTCTTCTTTCTCTTTCTTCTCTTTTTGCAATTTTTCGTCGCACATTTGATCTTCTTGCATCTCTTACGATGAGAATTTCGTTGATAGCTTTTGCGAGTTGTAGCTTCCACCATTGCGCTGAGCGTTGATTGAACAGCGTCGGTGGTTGCGAACGTAACATCTGTGAAATGTTGCGGCATCGTTGAGGATTCCATGGTCGATTCTGACATGGGGTTCGGAGTACTCGTGGAGATATCCGTGCTGGTATCGACGAAAGTAAATAGGATGGCCGTCGGAGTAGACGATGATTCCGTCAATTCTGTAAATTCCGTCGATTCGTTTGTAAATTTCGCAATTGACAACGATTCCATCTTTCTTCGACCATCTTTCTTCCATTTTTTTCGGCAGCTGCATTTCTTTCGTCGTCTTCGGCGTGATCCTTGCTTCGTGGAAAGTTCGATGATCTTGCGGTCAATCGTCGACTCGATTTCCTCATTCATCCCGATCTTTTTTGGGATCGCATCCACGGCATATTTCGACAGAGAACGCCGGAATATCGGAAGTGATGTGGTGGACGACGGTAGATTCGGGATGTCCCTCGGGAGAGGTCTGAGTAACGGGCTGCGAGTGATTTTGATATCATCAAGTGGACGATAGGTCGATGATGGCAGATCCGGGATGTTCCTCGGGAGACGTGTGTGGATCGCGCCACGAGTGGTTTTGATGTCACCAGGTAGTTGATGAGCCGATGACGGCAGATCCGGGATGTTCCTCGGGAAACCGTGGTGTGGATCGCGCCGCGAGTGGTTTTGATTGGTCACCGAGGTAACGTTGGAATTGGAGCCGATGACGGCAGATCCGGGATGGTTCCTCGGGAGACGTGTCAGGATCGGCACTGCGAGTGGTTTGATGTCACCAGGTGGACGATAGGTCGATGACAGGCAGTCGGAGTGTCTCGAGAGACGTGTGTGGATCGCGCCGTGAGTGGTTTTGATGTCACCAAGTGGACGGTAGGTGGATCGCGGTATCGCGTCGAGCGATCGATGCCCCGACGCTATCTGCACACTGCTATGAATCGCGCAAACACACCAGGAAACCACGAGCGATCGGAATCGCATTTTCGTTGCCAACCATGCACGACAACTTGTTTATTATCGCTTTTTCCGCTTTCTGTATTTTTGTTCCCTCCACCGAACGTTTTTCTTCACTTCTCGGACATTTCGCTCTCCTTTTTTTTCTTGCGTTTCTCTCTCTCTCTCTTTCTCTCTCTCTCTGTCTCTCTATTCGTAATCGATCGACCGCGAGACGCCAGCCGTTCGCCGTGCTCTCGACGAGTCTCGACCCGGTCGTTCCTTCTCATCTAAAGTCAACGTGAAGGAGCGGAGGAGGGAACGGACCTAGTGATAGATACGGGGGGATAATCGCCATGCGATAAGAACAGTTCGAATGAAATTAAATCGCGGGGGAACTGAGACTAACGACCTGCGTCGGAAGAGAATGGGTATTTTCGAGGTAGCCCATTGCGACGAGAAAATAAATGTCACACACGCGAACGATCGAAGAGATTGCCGCAATAGATTGCTTCTCCGAAACGTCTTAATTTGCCTATCGCACATCGCGTTAATTCGATTCCCGAACTTATTTAATTTCCCTACGAAAGAAGACGACTCATCGGCGTTCAATCGCGTTTCCATTAAAAAAAAGACGGGATCAATATCGGTCGAGTCGGAATCGATGTCGAGCGCATATAACTAGCCGTCATTCTCATCGTGTAGTTGAAACTTTTCATCAAAATTCAATATTTCCTAAAGAACAGAAAATTAATCTAAGATCACGGCGCCGTCGACGGCCATCACGAATCCATCACGCAGGTTTGCATTTCTTTCTCGTTATGACCTGGATTTCTTCGTCGTCTAATCGTAAAGAATCTTTCGCCAAACAGAAAGAGACTTGGTGTTTTATAAATTAATATTCTCGGGGAGGGAGAGAAAGATACGACTATGACGATTTTGATTTTTTTTTTTTTTTAGTTTTTTAAAAACCGCAATTTTATAACGCTCTGTGAATACCCTTGATCATTGAGTATCTGACGTCGAACTAAACATTAATTAAAGATTTGTCGCGAAATGTGTGTCATCTCCATAACTCCCCCGCATTTCCGTTCGCAGGTGCTTCCTGGTCTTTACATAGGTAATTATCAGGACAGCAAGGATGCCGATCAGTTGGAGCGTTTCGAAATCACGCATATCCTGGCTATTCACGATACGGCACGCCGTTTACATTCCGTGAGTACAAAGGATACACACAGCATAGCACGGAATAAAGCATATATCGAATTTCGGAATGGATGGATATAGCTAATTAACAGTAGAGAAACATCGGATTAGAAACGTTTATAGTCGATACAAAAGTACGTTTACATTCGGACTAAAGCTCAATTGCATTTTCAGGATAAGCATTATCTATGCATCTTGGCCGCCGACAGTCCCGATCAGAACTTATCGCAATATTTCTCTTTATGCAACGACTTCATTCATGCCGCCCGTCTTCGTGGCGGAAACGTTTTGATCCATTGGTAGATATACGTTTATTGTTGCATGAAGTTCAGACTATCTGAAAATCAGTAGAATACCCTTTTTATCGATTTTTAAATTGACTTTAAAATATATTCTTCTCAATATAAATATTAATTTTTTAAATAATTTTTTAAAATAATTATAAAGATAGATTTAATTAAAAAATGAAAAAAACTACGCATTAAGAGAAAAGTAAATAAAATAATCAAAGAGATTGTGGTTAAAAAATATTCCATGATTTTGACAATGAAGAATTTGTGGATTTTTAAAATCCTATAAAATTTGCAATTTACAAGAGTTTAAAATAAAATCTAAATTTTTATAAATAAAAATCATTTTCTAGTCTGGCAGGAATGTCGAGAAGCGTGACGGTAGCGGTGGCCTACATCATGAGTATCACAAATCTGTCGTGGAAAGAAGCGCTCAAAGTCGTTAAAGTCGGCCGTTCCATTGCAAATCCGAATGTTGGTTTTCAGCAGCAGCTCAAGGACTTCGAATCTAGTCGTTTGCAGGATGTAAGTGAT